ATCCAATAATCTTCCAATTAAATCCAAAATGCATTTTTTCCAAACTGATCATATCAACCACTTCCTCCCTATGTCTCAAGAACCGAGGCACTACCTATGGCCAAACCTATGAAACCTCCAACCATCATACTCAAATGGGTCTGAACCACTTAACCAGCATTTCCATCGCCACTGGGGCCTAAACAACACAAAAATCATCCTCGCATGAGCAGTCCAATCCAAAAGATCAACAGACGCGGAACTGCTCCCTAGAACCATCATATCCAACCTTGCTATCTTCCCCGACGAGTCCTCATAATCCTCTAAACCTCCCTTAATTCAAGTATGGATCATGTGCTTCCAGTAGTATCGACCCAATACTACCTTCCACACCTATCCATGCTTTTCTCAAGAATTATTTTGGGTTCTCTAAGACCTAGTCACAAAATACTCCTAAAACTTACTCCTTGGTGAAACAACCGCACTAAATACTCCCTAGGCTATCCTAGGACTCACCCACACCCCCTCTACCATCAGTTGCTAAAGAACCCCTACCAACGCCAACTAACCACTTTCACGAATACAATTACATGTAACCAGGCTTAAATAATCCTTCGGCTAAAGGACTCCGCCCTACAACAGTTGGACTCAGACAAGAGTTGCATAATAGGTCCATGTCCTTTATCCTAAGATTACTTAACCCTCATAGCATGTGATTTAATGTATTCATTTGATGGTTAAAATGTCATCAACATGGGTCCCACGAAGAACAAAGCAAGCAACGTTTGTGTAGAGAATCCGACCAACACTAAAATCCAATAAAATCTGACATATCCTCATGCGAAATCATTGATCTTCAACTCCCCACACCACAGGTGCACCTTTGTCCTGCTCACACTCTCCCCATAGTGGCTAATCATTCCTCGTGTTGACCTACTATACACTATAACCACTCATGAAACTTACACCAACCCTGCAACATTCGTGTATGCTAGCTATACATAACACTGGATCTTATAGACAGCCGAATACTCAGTCCTACTCAAAGCCCACAACCAGAGAAGGAATAGGAAATAAAGTCAAACCAAATATTCTCAGGCTATAGAATCTTAGTTATGTACAACTATGATGCATACACTAAACAACTACAGTAAGGATGTCAATTTCGTATAAAGAAGAACCCTAGGCTATCGGGCATCATATAATCAGGCAATTCTATTATAAATTTCTTGAAGATTGGTAGCCTATCACTAGGATGTTGCTCTAACATATCACAAGATCAAATAACAATGTTGTAGTTTGGGGTCAGCATACTTGTTTCGGCAGATCGTACACATCGCATCCTCTTTCAGTTATTTTGAAAATAACTTTGAAAGATATTTTTTTTAATCTCTACTAAAAACATATTTTTAAAACCCTTTTTCCTTAGTTTCAGAGTGGATTCATACGAGTGTTCCTCCAATTCACTCAAACCAAGGCTCTGATACCAACTTGTAATATCCATAAAATTTCATGGAATTTTAAACTTTTCAAAACAACCCTTTTTCTATAGACGTGTTTACAAAACATTATTTAAAATCAAAAATGTTCTCAACATAGTTTTTAAAACTTTGTCATTATCAGAGTATCACAAAAATTATAAGTCGAAAAATGCGAGGATGTGTACGATCATGCCTTCACCTAGACAAGATCTGTTGAAGTATCTGAAACGATAAACCAAAACTATAAACACCATGCTTAGTGAGTTCCCTAAAAGTACCAACACATAAACATATAACATATACCAACAACAACATTTACTGGGTCCACAACTAATAGACTGGATTACCCCTAAGCCAACAGTACAAGTCTGGCTTGCCTAACGAGCCCACAACTCATATATGGCTTGCTCTTGAGTGAACAACATAATTTTGGCTTTCCCCTGGGGCCCACAGTTTATGTCTGGCTTGCTCTAACCTAGTCAGTCCTCGGACTGGAATGCCCTACCCGACTTTCAGCTCATATATGGATTGCTCTGATACCCTCAAGCCCTCATTACGAGTCTGGCATACGAACCGGGTCCTGAACTCATATCTAGAATGTTATTGAGTCGTTAGTATGAGTTTGGCATGCCGTACCCAGCCCTCAGCTCATATCTGGAAAACTCCAGGGATTGTCGGCTACAACATGAAGCAGTTCAACCTCAACCCAACATAACATACCGATAGATAACAACCATATACAGATAATCATGTAGACAAAATCATAGGTATTCCTACTGATCTACCAGGCTAGCATATAAAGACTATCATACATATCCATTGTATACTAACCATATCAACAATATCAGGTTATCCAACCAATGGGTCGGCCTTGGTCCCTTCGACCCCAAAGTACAATTAGGAAAAACCACCTTGAATATTGAAGTTCACTACAAGAATACTTAGATGCTACCCCAGCAACACCTCTGATCTATCAGATCAAAATAACATTCAATTAGTAGTTGGGTTTCATTCTAAGGCCCACCATCCATACTTGGGGTAAAATGACCACTTTACCCCTAACCCAACATGAACCAAAATTGAGGCTTAATTCCATTAACCAAAAGGTCTAAAACCAAAAGATCTACAAAATCCCACTAGTGGCCTAATTTTCCAAGTCAAGACCAACCTTATATGAGTCTTATCCTAAGACCATAATTTCCTTTAGTGCAATTCAAGTTACCTCAAGTACCCCCTTAGGACAACTTGGTCAATGACAAGAATTAAAAAGTCAAGGTCAACGATGTGAGTTGACCCAACTCGACGAGTTGTTCGTTCAACTCGGTGTGTTTTTCCATTTAAAAGCAAAGTCGGGAAAAACCGATCCAAATCGTTGGGTTTATCAATAAACTCGACGAGTTCGCTCAAAACCCAACAACTTAAAATAATAAGCACTTAATCCATAAGCATGCTAGAAAACGACATAAAGTTACCAACTTTATGTTCATGCATGTCTAAATGAATCTCTTAAGCTTAAAATGGGCTTAAGAATTTAGTTAATGCATGCTTGACACCAAAATCCTCATAAAGCTTGCAACTTTATGCCAAATGAGGCCACAAAATGGCCAGATCTAAAGTGACAACCCATAAAACACTCAAATCATTGGAAAATCTATCAGAGAATCCAATAATCAACATTAAACCCTAAAAGAAAATATCTAAGCAATAAAAAAGCAAGGTACAAGCTTTATACCTCAAAGAGACTAGAATAAGTGGGGAAGTTCTGGATTTAAAGCCTTTCCACCAAGCATGACACCTTTAGTTCAAGGCTCCTTTAAAAGAGTACCAAAATTTAACATTCAAAGCACTCCACCAACTTACACACTCAACTATGGAAGATGATACTCAAATTTAGGGTTTCTGGACAAAGGATGCCAGTAAGGAGGCCAGCCAAGGGACTTAAGGCCTTTAAATATGGTGCAACACCCTAAAAAATAGGCTTTCCATCCCATCTGTTAACTCATCAAGTTGCTTTATTAAATCTCGTGGCCAAAACATTCCTCAACACACCGAGTGGGGCTACCCAAATCGTCGTGTTCGACTGGAAAAACACAAAAGCTAATCCTTATACCTAGAAGTCGGGATATTACATCACTTCTGCGAACGTATAAACTTCATTTGGTTTAGCAGGGTCGAAAAATATCAGTCCAATGAAAAAAATAAAATATGCCATCACGAGGATATATTTGACATCTCATACATGATCGCATTTTCATGTTAAAGCACAAAAAGGCCAGAAATAGCAATGTACTTCATTAAACAAAAAGTCTGGAAAATTTTGAAAAAAAAATGCAATCGTATTTTTGGATAAATGCGATCCTTGTTTTGGTTTCTTGCTCCTTATGATTAATTTGAAGCCTAGTCGATTCCTGAAGCCCCAGACGACGAAAAAGATGATTTCTGATGTAATTTTTCTTCAATTTAATTTATTTTAGAAGATCTGAAGACTATGGATCATGTCTCTTAGTTAGTTTAGTAATATTTAATAGTTTAATCTTTCAATAACTAGTTTTTATCAGATTTTAGCCATGTGTGGCTAAAACCTAGTTTTCAGTTCTACATAGATTAGTACTTTTATGTTATCAATCATTAGAACAAGTTTTTTATTTGTGTTTCTATCTAGATATCTCAGTTTTATACATAATGAATGTTTGATTTTGATTATTTTTAGCTGTTTAATCAATCTAGTTAATTGTTTAATAGAATCCATAATTATTCTTGTTAACTGGTGATAAGTAACAAATATCAGAATAGTTTGGTGTTGGGATTTAACTCTGATATAGATTGAAAAATCATATGTTTATGCTTCTAAGCATATAAGAAGTATTAGGTATTGTTGGGAAGTTTACACATATCTTAAATTATCTTTTTTGATCTTAATTAAGAGTTTGTTTAGTTAGAGAGTAAAAAATTTAGGTTAACATAAAAAGTTGTTGTTACATAAATAATCAGGTAAAATAGAATGTACTAGAGCTTATTAGATTTTTTGTACTAACTTAAATATAATGCAACTCAAATAATCAAGTCAATGTTGATTGCATGACTACGAAAATCATAGCAAAACTGAATTCATTTTTATTATTAATTTTAATTAGTTTATATTCACTACTATTTTAGTTTTAGTTTTTAATTAAAAAACCATTATTATTATTGTTTTGTTTAATGACTAGTATGTGCCATACACAAAGAGGCATTGACCATAAGTTGTGTCCCATAGGATTTAAACCTCCTTCCCAGTTTTATCCTTTAGTGCATTCGAGCAGTGAAATTTGATTTACTTAAATCATGCGCGACACTAAGAGAACAAGAAGTAAACTAAAGAAAGAAGTAACAAAGAAAAAGTAATCAGTTGATTTATTTGGTTCATCATTATCTTCTATAGCCCTAGAAATCACAACACCACAAGGTAGCCCCTTGTGGAACAAGCCAGAAATTACCACCTCATCCATTGCGAAAGTACCACCTTCTTTACCTTCTAACAGTTCGTTTACAAAAATACTCCTAACCATCCTCTAAAAAATCTGAAACCATAGACTCTTCAGATGCCGAATCAGAAGAACCAGCTATGAGTGAAACTAGAGACGAATTAGAAAAACACACAAAGAATGGGCCACTCAAGAGGTTAATTAGCAACCTCTCTGCATCACTTTTCTTGGAGCCCAAAGCTTTGAGCTGAAATCTAGGCTGATACACCTGCTATCAACGTTTAGAGGCTTAGAAAATGATGACCCACATAAATTCCTCAAGGAGTTTAATGTAGTTTGTTCAGGACAGAAGCCACACTTCATTATTGAGGACTAGATAAAGCTAAGAGCATTCCCCTTCTTACTTCAATACTCTGCGAGATAATGGTTGTACAAGCTGTCATCTGGATCGATAATCATGTGAATTGAACTCACACAATTATTTTTAGAAAAATGTTTTCCAAAAATGTGAGTTTCGAGCCTTCGTCGCGATATCCTTGGTATCAAACAAGGAAGTGTAGGAACCTATTTGCCGATTGGATTGGCGTGGAAAGATAATATCCATAAGATAATCGTGTATGACATGAAAAACAAAATATGAGTAAACTGTGCAGAATAGATAGAGAGAATCAACATGTTATAAGAACAAGTGTCATGGCTAGGAAGAATTCCCAACCAAACACACATACACACACTCTATCTATCTATCTCTCTCTAGAGTCTACATGGTGCACAAATATATAAAATGAATTTTATATACTACTGTAAGGAATGTACTCTCATAGAAGGGTATATTCTACCAAAATAATTCACTCATCGTTGTAGAGCATTTTCATGCTCCAGAAATCTCCCCTAAATTCTCGGAAACAGTGTGGGTAATAAGCAATGATAAAAGGCAGAATCTTCAACGTGCAGGTCCCGTAGGTCTAGTGCCAAAGTGCCTCAGAAAAGATGAAATTGATGTGACTAGCAATGAAATCTCTACCATCATAGAACATCCAGATTACCCAGTCTCTAAATAAAAATATAAAATCCCCATCTTTGAATGTGATCCGTCCCCAACAACCAATTATGTTCACAATCTCCCCTCTCAACTATTGAACCAAAGATCACAATGTCGAATTATAAAACATCTTCAATATTCTGAACTCGAGTAATAATGCATGAAATAATATCTAAATAATAACATATTGAAAAAGATATACATCCAAAAGTAAAGTCCGAATTATAAATATTGTGAATTTGAAGACATGGTCTAGTGTTGCCAAAAATTTAATCAGAAGATTAAAAATATGTGACACATCTCATCGCCAAAATAATCTTGGTTTTTAATATATCACAAGTCCAAACTCAAGAAATCATAAAAATATATTCCACGTTGTTGATTAGGTAAGTTTCCGAATGAAAATTTGTGAATCCGGATCTCTGAAGCATATAAATCAGACATTGAAAATGTGAGTTGCTCCATAGGAGGAAGAACACACAAATAATAATTTCTAAACCAACTATGTTTTCACTCGTAGTCAGCAAAAAGAATGAAACCTTAAATCATGAGCTAAAATTGGTGTTAAAAAATAATTGGATTTAGTAAAAGAAATTGAATTGGTTTAAAAAAAAATTGAATTGGTGTTAAGTAGGGATGAACATTGGAAGGGGACTAGAACCGGACCAGTTTGGAACTGGAACTGGTGTTGCGATATTATAAGAACGGGTAATCGGACCGTCGGTTTTAATACCAGTTCTGGTTTTGGTCTTGGTTTTTCGGTTATTTTTTCAAACCAGAACCTGTTATAAATAAGATGAAATGTTCGTATCCATCACTAATGTTATTAATCGGTGGTGGTGTATCACCTATAAAGTTAGTCTTTATAATCCTACATTTAAAAAAGACAGTTTTGTGAATAGTAATTTGATTTCATTGTAGTAACTGCTTTATCATTATACGAATAATAACAATGCAGAGACTACTTTATTTACATAAAGTATTCACATGTTTTTCTCATACGGATTATTATACTTACAAACGATTTACATTTACATAAAGTCTTCACTAGTTATTACAATATTAGGCTGGTTACCGATTCTTATTTGATGACATCGGACAAAATAGAATCGTGGTAAATTAATTTTATGAAAAATGAAGAGCTAGACAATATGAGAACGGCCAGGGCCGGTCCTGAGGATTCAAATGCCCAGGACGAGCCGGAAAAAAAAGGCCCTTAGGCCTTAACTTGTAACGGGGTACATTATAATTGTAGTTAAGAAAAAGCACTTAACATGTAACGGGGTACATTATATACTAATCATAGATTGCATTAATAATACATAATGAGAATCACCATTCTTTGCAATACTTAGTCATGAGGTACATTATATACTACAGTTCAAGTAACAAGCTAGACCGTACTATTTTAAATGTAAGGGTAGTTAGGAAATAAAAAGTTCATAAAAAACAAAATAATACCTCTCTTTTAGTAAAGCTGCATAACAGATAATGCCTTGATATGTGCCTTAGATTCCTAAAGCCTCTTGATCTCTGCTTTGTGTTGTTCAATCTGCAATACAAAATGATTTAGAATTTAAACACAATCTGTTCAAGAAAATCAATTTTTCAAAGATGTTCTTCAATTATAAAGTGAATTAACAAGATATATATGAAACTGTACCATGAGCAGAAATTCAGTGAATTTAACAACATTCACTATTCAAGTATGAAGTATTAAATAATAAAGTGAATAAGCGATAAATTGATAATGATTCAAGTTCAACATTCAGGTTTCTGTATCTAATAATCTATTCACTCAACTATTCAAGTGTGAAGTATTCAATTATAGTATCAAGTAAGTATATGTGTTAAAGATTTGCTAATTTAAACCTAGTTGCCCAAATGATTCATATTTTAAGGGTAGAATTGTGACATAAATTAGGATAGGAGTATGTAACAGATGCACACAAGAAAGTTGGAAGCCCAGTTCCTGTATTAAGCTCTCCATTAAGCTGTAATAATGGAGAATTAGATGTTAATATAAAGCACAAGTTTTTGAAATCCATAATTTGAACCGGAGTCAATCTTCTTTTCAAATTAATCAAAATGCGACAGAATTAAGAGATGATTTGTTTAAGTAAACATCACTGCTACATAGATAAAACCGAAACATAAATCTTGAACACCTCTTGATCAATATTAATAAAATCAAACATCGACAGTTGAAAATTACTGCCAGTAAAGATAATCAAAAGATACAGTTTCAAACAAATGATGTGAACCTGCGACCTGAAGTAGTGTGTTGGAATCCATGGTTGGTGTTGAATAATGATTATTGATTACCTGATGAAATTATAAACTCATAATGATTGATTCAAATGACTGAATGAGTAATCGGCTATAAACCCTTCACCCTCACTGTTGTATGCAATTAGCTTCTGTTCTGCTGCAATTTGCGAGATGCTGCCTTGCCCTTCTTGCGTAGGGACTACGATCAGAGTACTTGGATTTACATTTGGGCTGAAAACTGAATATAATAAAAAAAGAAAAAAGTTGGGCCCCTCGAAAAGATAGGCCCTGTGCACATGCCCACATTGCACATGCTCATCACCAGCCATGAGAACGGCATATGGTTTGTCCAAAGGCAGGGATGCTAACAAAAATGGATTTAAAAACTTGATTACGTCAGATAAAATTAAGGGATTCTTGGAATGTTGGAAACGACAAAAAAAAATTGAGTTCATTTAGTGCAAAACCTACAAAAACTATTAAAGGCAGGTGGACAAAATGTAAAAAGCACAATCGACAAAAACTATTAAAGGCAGGTGGACAAAATGTAAAAAGTTGACGCCTGGCACCGTTTTCTTTTCTTTTTGCAGGTATGGTACATGAGGCGACTAGTTTAAGGGCATGGGGTATGGTTTTCTTTTTCACCCGAAAAAATCTTATATAGAACCTATGTGTACCGCCCTCATTATGAGTAATGATGGTGTGGATTAAAGCTAATTACGGGTTTCACACCCAGTCAAAACCGTTTCTTTCTATCTCTCTCTCTCTCTCTTGTTCACTAGTGAACACCACCCTCATGAATAGTAAATGAGTTGTAAAGATGTATAGATGATGATGTAGAATGACTTTCACGTGTGTTGATACCCCATAGCCTAAGAGAAACAAAGTCAGGTCAAACAGCTAGACACAGTGAGAAAGTGAACCAATCAGACAAATATGTCAAGTAGCTATTAATTGTGATACACCGAGTGCTATTAATTGTGAGACACCGAGCTGTTAAGGTGTAACTAGACCTCGCAAAACATGACACGACATGAAAACCGCATACGAAATTAGTCGGTTAGGGTCAGAGATTTCAACACGTTTATGTAAACGGATTGACACGACACAATATGATAATTAAACGGGTATGATTAGGTTTAAGACTTTAAACTCGAATATGACCCTCGAATATGCCCTGTTGAATTATATATTATTTATTATAATTTTCAGTTTTTTATAAAAATATTATATGTTATAAACTTTTAGTGGGCCAAATTCAATATTTAGAAGTAATATTTAAAATTTCAAAGTTACTTAATGTTAGTCATCCTCACCACCTATCTTTTTTGCTCCCTAACTTTAACTTTTTTTCATTTTTCCTTCTATACTTACTATAAATTTTGTCATTCCATCTCATAACTGTAACGTTTTTACTTTTTCCTTTTTGCCCCCACAACTCCTACTTTTCAACCTTTAAAATATTTCAACTCAACATGACACAACATATTTACAAGGAAATTGAAAAGGAAGGACTCGAAGTATAATTATGAGTTAAGTTTGTATATGGACCAGCATAAACCCGTCACTTCCTTTCATTCAAACCCTAACCCTAAAGCCATCATACAGTCACCACCTTATTTCCCCCCTGCCTCCATCCGCCGCTATCAACTTCGACCACCTAGCACCACCGAACTGTTGGATTAGTGTCTAAGCCCGTAACCATATTTGTCAAGTACTTGACCCGATTGTGCATGGTCCTTTTGGGTTGCCTTTACCAAAGCAACTTCACTGGAGAAATAATAGAGAAAGAGGTTATTATGATTTATTAATATGTTATAAGAATAATATATTAAAGGAGAAATCATAATTGTTTAATTAATATTGGTGAATAATTAATTAGGAATTAATTTTGTGATCAAGTGTAATTAATTAAACTAGAGGGGCTGAATTGTAATTATGTGATAGTTACAAAATATGGTAATGGTTATCCTAGATATAGGTTGGACGATTTTCAAGGGATAAGATATCCTTGAAATCGTCCAAAGGATAATGATAAGGGTTTTCAAGGCTTATCTTATGGTTACTTGGTGGGTAAGCAACCAAATAAGGATAAGGACTGAAACCCTAATCTCTACACCTATATAAAGACCCCTAAGGCCATAAAATTTCGTCCATGCCTTGTCTAGGGTTCCTAGGGACGAATTTCACACCTCTTCCTTCTCTTTATTACCTCTCCATTTACTCTTGGTGTTTGTGAGCCATTAGAGGTACTACACTTTTGGTGCTTGCTTTCAAGACTTAGGGTTTGAAGATTCAAGTTGTTATTACAATATAACAACAAGAGGTATGTGTTCTAACCTTTCTTGGTTAATTTCAAAAATTGAAGGCCATATTAGGGTTTCATTATGTGTTCATAATGTTGTGTATCTAATAGTTAAAACATAGATCCAATTCTAGGGTTGCATGCACACATAGGATTGTTTGTACAAAACCCAACAGTGGTATCAGAGCCTTAGGTTAAATTGTTTTCAATTAGTATTATACAATTGTATGAACTTGACATATTAGGGTTTATAGCCAATAAACGCTAGGAGGCTAGAAATTTCGAGATTAGGGTTTCTACACCCTAATTTGCGAAAATGTGAAAGGGTTTTCAAATCCTTTCCTTAAGCCTCAAGATTTTGAAATCTAGGGTTTGCAAAACCCTATGATTTTCGAAATTAGCCTCCTCCCCATTATAAGATCCTTAATTTTAGGGATTTGGATTATCCTATATCTTGTAATTATCCTTTAATGGTTATATATGGTAATTAAAGATTTTGAATTATCCTATCCCATGATTTTCGAATTTTAGAGGGATTAAAAGGAATAGGATAAATTAATTGTTTAATTGGTAATTATCCTTCATGATTTAAATAATCCTTTATGATTTAATAATTATCTTGAATTAAACTATTAATTTAAATTATTAAATCAAGAGTTTTAATATTTAAAATTTTAATTTAAATAGTATTAAATTTCGAAAATTTTAAAGTGAGATTAAAACCTAATTGTTTTGAAAAGTTTCAAAACTTGCTCTCAAGTTTTGGAATTTAAAAGTTGATTAAAAGTTTAATTTAGGAATGTTAAATTCTAAAACCCTAGTATTGTTTTCAAAAGTTCAAATCACACCCTTACGGTTGTATTAATTAATTAAGGTGTATAACTAAAAGAAGTTTAATAAAACCATAAAAGTTTTGGTTTAAAATTAAAAGTATAAATGTTATATTTGACCACCTAACATTTTAAAAGTGTAAAATACACCATATACTATATATGACACTAAAAGTCTAACATTATATATATGTATGAGTAAAAGTCAGTCTTACCGTTAGTAGGCCTCATTCACGAAGCTGTTCCATAAGGGGTGTTTAAGGAAATTGCCTATAAAATGGAGATTAAATGGGTATCCACTCTTACCCACCGCACTCTTGACTAGTGGATGGTCGTTAGTCGAACGGGTAGGATAGGACAAAACTTTCCATTATAAGTATAATAAAGTACAAAAGTAACTAAATGTTTTACAAATTCCCAATCTTAGTTACTTAGGCAAAAGTGAATTGATGCAATTCCATGAAATTACACTTTGTGCCCTTGCGAAGACGTTATTGGAGCGTGTGTGGTTTACCGGCACACTAAATGGTTCTAACCAAAGGTAGCAAAGGGTGACTCAATGTTTGTCATAGTTCGGTGGAGCATGTCTGGTTTACCGGCACATCGAATAGGTGACTGTAACATGTGAGGGCACCATGTAAGTTTGCATGGTTATTCACACCTGCTTTGTGATCCTCGGCATCCCAGTCACAAACAAGAGGGGAATATCGAGATTTAAACATGCCATTGAAAGTTCAATGAATCTCAAAAGATCTAGGAGTTTTCATAGATTTAAAACTTCAATTTTTTTTTTTCGTTTTTCGTGGTGGAAATTAGTTAATCGCCATTCACTTACCTTCAAATCTTCTGCAATTAGGGTTACGGCATCCCTTTCCCGAGTTGTGGAATATTGTATTGGGTCCTAGCCTTAGTATTTCATTTGAAGTGATTTACTAAGGACTCAATCAATCAACTAACTTGAATTTGTTTCTCCCGTTTTGTAGATGTCAAAGTTCGACAACTATGGTCTTCCCAAATCCCGTGGAACAAGCATTCCACATGAAGATGATATTCCACGATTCGATCGAGGAATAATAAATCATGCTTGACTTCCTCCACCTCCTCCAATTGTTCTCTCACTAACCCACAAGATCGAAGAATTGAAAGGTTCAATATCACTAAGGCCCTATTGGAAATGAAACATGAAGATGGTAAATCGTGTGTGCCCACATTCTAGGAATGAAATCACACATCGATAGGTTGATTATATTGGGTGTGTCATTTCCCAATGAGTTGGCTGTGAACTGAGTTCTGCAGTCACTCCCTGAATCATATAATGAGTTCAAAAGAAAGTATTATATGATGGATCATGACGATAACCTCATTGATCTAACTTACATGCTCATTGTTGCTGAATCAGAAATGATTTGGCGAAGCAATGGAACGTATTTGTTGGGAAAGTCAACCGACCATGCTTTCGAGGACGTTCTAAGAGAAGCGACCTACGTTTGCTTCCAAGAGAAAGGGCGTTGGATAGAAGTCTGCCCTAAGAGCCTGAAGGTTCCAAAGATGGGAGACTGGAAAAGTATGGCTGTGCTTCAGGTAAAAATCCACTATCTAACTCCATTAATTTCCTATTTGTTGATTCTTAATACATGATGTGATATGATTGCATTTGAATGTTTTGCAGGATCGGTGAAAAGAAAGGAAGTTTGATGAAAGAGCAAGATGAGTCTAATCACAAAGAAATGGATCTCGATCGCATGGACTTGAAGATTAGATTTTGAGCTTATATATTTATGATAGAATTGTTAGGAATATTCGACTACATAGTTTTCAATGGATTTTGCATTGTAAGGACAAATGTTTTCCGCCGCTTTTATAAATAAAATAAATTTTGTTTGACTTATTTATTTATTTGTTTATTTCCTTGCAATGAAATCGTTATGAAAATTAATGTTTACATATTTCTACAACGAATGGATATGATTCTTATTTATGGAAGTGTCGAGAATTTACCAAATAGGGAGAGTTTCTCATCGCCCAAATTTCAATTGGACAGAAATTTGGAATCACGCAACTTGGTTGCATGATGAATGAGAAATTTCATATTTGGAAATTAGACTAATTCGTTGACAAAGTGTCAAGTGAAGGACTAGGAGATCGAGCACACAAAGTTGTGTGTTGATCAAGTCCACCATAAGAGTAACAAAGA